CTAATACAATATTTTTGTCAAACTTATATACACGTATATACATGTGTAACAAAATTTGAATATTCTATATTAGAGATGACAAAACAGGCCTTAAGGCCGCTAGAAAAGGGGTGGGGAGGACAAACCCGCCAAATGAAATTGGGTTTAAAATCTAGCCCATTCTGCTAAGGTGGCGGATTGACAGACAACAGATTTGCCCGCCTATTTTTTTATTTTTTATTTTTTTAATAGATTAATAGGCTTATTTTTACATTTTAATTAGATTTTCATTTATTTTTTAGAACAATTTTTTTATAAAACATCTTTTTAATAAATTTTATTTAAAAAAATATTGCATATATTCACAAATAAATGTATAAAATAGAATCATAAACAAGTATTCTAAAATTATAGTTGAAATATTAACTTTCAACCAACCAAAATAAATATTTTGAGTGTTGGATAACTAGGTTGGCAGGCTGACAGACCAACTTGTCCCTTTTTTAGTGGGTTTAAGGTGGGGTGGGCTTAAAGCAGAGCAGGTTGAACGGTTAGGCGGATACAAAATAGCAGTCCAACCCGCAATTTTTTGGCGGGTGCGCGGGTCAGTCCGCTGGCCACGACCTATTCTGCCACTCCTATTTTATATATACAAAAATATACTATTTACAACAAATCCAAATTTTTTACAACAAAAACTAAATTATATATACTAATGTTTAACCAAGAGAAATTAATGTAAATTATAATAATCTAGGAGGGAGTCAATGTGAATGGACGTCATTTATATATTATATTTAAATGATATCTCATTGTTAAACACTTATAATTTAAACAAAATTTAAATTAGTATATGTGAGATGTTGGATCAAACTCTAGTATGGTTGAATTCTGTTCACGAGTAATGCGTGTTGTAGTCGAAGTTTGTTCTAACATGCATTATTCAATATTGATAGGGTTGTTAGCATGTTGAATTGAGCCTTACTTGTAAGTCCAATTGTTTAAGTTAGCTTGTACCCTAAGTTAGCTTGTAATGGGTAATTGTTAAAAAGCCTATTAGGTTAGTGTGCTATTTTTCTTATAAATAGGATACTAGTTTCTCAATCCTGACATAAGGAAAAATAGGAAGATAAAATCTTAATTTCAAAAGAGAGAGATTATTTTGTTATTCTTGTATACTTTTAATCTTGTTCTAAGAGAAAGGAAAGAATAACATTTTAATAACCAATCCTTGTTGTTTTACCTTGTCTTCTTTGTTAACCTTAACCCTTGTGTGTTTCTTGATCATTAAGAAATCAGTTTATACTTAGTTTGAAGGTATCTGATTCACAACAAATTGGTGCGGTGAGCGTAGAGAAGATGCCTTCAACAAAGTATGAGATTGAAAAGTTCACCGGAGTGAACGACTTCGGTCTGTGGCGCTTGAAGATGAAAGCCATGTTGGTTCAACAGGGTTGTTTGGAAGCGTTGTAGGGTGAGGCAGCCATGGACGCTGCGTTAACAGCAAAAGAAAAGACGTGCATGATCGAGAAAGCCCACATCGCAATATTGTTGAGCCTTGGTGATAAGGTTCTTCGACAGGTATCAAAGGAGACTACAACATCGGGATTATGGGTGAAACTCGAAAGTTTGTACATGACCAAATCTCTGGTGAATCGACTCTACCTGAAGCAAGTTTTATATTCATTCAAGATTAGTGAAGACAAAGTGTTGGCTGAGCAATTGGATATGTTCAACAAGCTGATTCTTGATCTTGAAAATATTGATGTGAAGATCGACGATGAAGATCAATCATTGTTGTTGTTGTGTGCTTTGCCCATACACATGCTCACTTCAAAGAAACTCTCTTGTATGGAAGGGAGTCCCTGACCTTTGAAGAAGTTCAATCAGCCTTGTATTCTAAGGACTTGAACGAATGAAAGGAGCATAAACCTTCGATGGTGGGCGAAGGTTTGGTCGTTAAGGGAAAATTCTTGCGAAAGGATGGTAAGTTCGACAAGAAGAAAGGTAAAAGTCAACAGAAGTCTTATAGTGGAGAAACATCTAGTATTCGATGTTATCACTGTAAGAATGAGGGTCACATAAGAAAGGTGTGCCCTGAACGTCTGAAAGATCATGGAGGTAATGGCAATGCAGCCATTGTTCAAGATGACTTCAACTCATCTGATGTTCTTGTGGTTTCAAGTGGCGACTCGAGGAAAGAGTGGATTATGGATTCAGGTTGCACTTGGCACATGACTCCAAACAGAGAATTGTTCGAGGAGATATGTGATTAAGATGATGGATCTGTGCTGCTGGGAAACAACAAATCTTGCAAAATTACAGGTATTGGATATGTGAGATTCAAGCTCCATGATGAGTCATTAAGGTTATTGACTGAAGTCAGGTACGTACCTAACTTGAAGAGAAAGTTGATTTCTCTTGGTGAATTCGACAGAAAAGGATACGTTTTTCAAGGAGAGAAAAGTATCCTAAGAGTCATGAAGGGGTCGAAGGAAGTCTTGAGAGCCGTGAAGAAACAAGGCTTGTATACCCTTGAGGCTGAGGTTATAAGTGGTTCGACAAATGTTGCATCCACGAAACCTATGTCGAAGACAGAATTATGGCACATGAGATTGGGCCATGTCAGCGAAAGAGACCTGGTCGAATTGGGGAAGCAGAACCTGCTAGGAGGTGACAAATTCGAAAAGTTGGAATTCTGTGAATCTTGTGTATTTGGTAAATCCTGTAGGGCGAAGTTTAACAAAGGCAAGCAAGGAACACATGGATCCCTGGATTACATTCATGTTGATCTTTGGGGGCCTGCAAGGTATTTTCTATCCATCGTTGATGACTATTCCAGAAAGCTATGGATATTCATTCAGAAGACGAAGGATGAAACTTTTGAGAATTTCAAAAGTTGGAAGATTCTGGTCGAAACTCAGACTGGCAGAAAGGTTAAGAGGTTGAAAACCGATAATGGCCTTGAATTCTGCAACGAAGCGTTCGACAGTTACTGTGTTGGGTCTGGGATTGCAAGGCATAAGACTGTAAACGGTACTCCTCAACAAAATGGCTTAGCTGAGAGATTCAATTGAACAATCCTTGAAAGGGTTAGATGCATGTTGGTTAGTGCTGGATTGAAGAAGGTGTTTTGGATGGAAGCTGTTTCGACATCAGCTTACTTGATAAATAGATGTCCCTCGACTGCCTTGGGAATGAAGACACCTGAAGAAGTTTGGTTGAGACATCCACCTAGTCTCGACAGACTGAGAGTATTTGGTTGTGTGGCCTATGCTCACATTAGGCAAGACAAGGTCGAACCTAGAGCTCTGAAATGCATGTTCATGGGATACTCTGAAGGAGTCAAAGCTTATAGGCTATGGTGCCTAGAGCCAGGTCACAGGAGGTGTATCACCAGTCGAGATGTAGTTTTCAATGAAGCAGAGATGGCTTTCAAGAAAACTGATGATGCTGACGAAGAGCTGGAACAGGGAGAGATTCCTGTTGAGGTGGAGCATTTCATACTAACATTTCTTTTTGATCTAACATACTCTTTACATTTCATACTAACATTTTTTTTTGAAATATGGAACGAGCACATCAAATAAGTTGAATTTGGGAACACAACTTTCATGACATTCATCAATGCAAGTTCTCGGTCCGTCACCACAATATTCGGTAGCAAATTCTCGAAAGAGAACAACTCTTTGAACCTGTGTTTTAAAAATTGGACCATACCGGCCGGTCGTAATGGTCGAACTGGGAACTAGAGAGGTCACCGATCTAGTTAGATTGTTGGATCCGATATGCTATTGAACCAGTGAGAACCAGCCAAAACCACTAAAAACCAATAAACTGACGGTTTAAATGATGCCTTTTTTTTTTCTACATAATAACGACGTCGTTTTGCTAATTTATTTTTTTAAAATAAAATTAAAATATAAATAGACTTTATTCAAAACTTATTTGGAACAATTATTCTTCGTTTGTAATCAGATATTGTTCAAAATTTATTTGGATTTGTATTTTCTACTATTTTGTCGTGTGTGATGACTACGTCAAGAGTTTGAATTTAAAGAATGAACTTGTGAAATTATGATATTTTAAAATTTTGTAGAGACCGAGTCATCCGGTTCAACCGATTTATTATATATATTTTTTATAGAGACCGGTTTATTCAGCCACGTTATCCGGTTTAGTCAAGCGGTTTGACTAGTGATCCAGTGGTTCGACCAATGAACCAGCGACCCAGTACCTTCACCGGTTTGATGATCGGTCCGATTTTTAAAACATTGCTTTGAGTTTCTCCAATGCTCATTTGAAGTTTTCCTCCCTTTCATATTAAAATCGACAAATTCAACAGAAAACGTCAACTTTGTTGACATAACACAAACAATCTTAAAGAGTGGTAGTCAATACCTATATGATCATGAAACACATAATCAAAAATTTAATAAATTAAAATATATAAAAAAATATAAAAAATCAACAACTAATAATAAAAATCGTATCAGAAATTTCATTTACACTATTTTTTTTAACAAGTTAGTAAAAATGAATTTTTTTAATAAAATCAAAATTTCCTTAATAAATAATAGCAGAGACAGTTTTGGTAATATAAAAATATGAGGTGTCAAATATGAAAAAAAGATGATAGACTGCTCAAAATTTTCTTATCAATATTAGGCAAAAGCCCAATATATTTTGAGTGAGTAATGATATCTTTTTTTTTAAAAAAAAAACAAGCACACGCCCAAAACTGACGTGATGATGTAACCCCATAAAATAAAATAGTAATAATCCCCACCAACAAAAATAAAATAAAATAACGAGAGAGTGGTTTGACATTCGCATCTAGTAGTGGCGGAACGGAACAAACAACAAACAGAGAAACTTTACCACGCGGATTCCGTAATAATCCTACCACCATAACTAACACAATAATAATATTGGATTTTCTTTCTTACTTTATTTCATCTTATTAATTTCTAACACCCCCTTTAATTTCTCACCTCTGTCAATAACGTACACACATCGCCATGGACACGGCGGCATCACCGTCCTCTTCCCCATCGGAAGAGCCTCAAAATCAAAATCAACATCACGATCTTCAACATCAACTTCAACAAGAACAACAGCAACAGCAGCAGCTTTCTCCAGTTAAAGATTTTCTTCACAAAACCAAAACGATTCAATTTCTTGGACGCACCACTCCGATCGTCCTTCAAAACGACAATGGACCTTGTCCTCTCCTCGCTATTTGTCAGTGCATTTCGCTTCCTAGGGTTTCCCTATCCATTTCTATCTTTTATTACTGTTATTCAATTCAATTTCTCGCATAGCTTGTTAATCGATTTTTCTTTATTCGCTTTATAAATTACAATAACGCTGAAGAGTATATTAGGTTAGGGATGTCCGATTTTAGATTATTATTGATGAATTTTCAGAGTATCAAAGAAATGATAAAATGATAATTCAGCGAGATATATTTTGTCCTTGTTATTTACAATTTCAATGTCTGTTTGATTCATGAGAAAATGGAAATGGTGTTTCCCATATTATTACATATGCCAATCATCCATCAATAAGCATCTCAATGTTGTCCATGGCGGAGAGCCAAATGCCGTTATAGCGGATTATGGCAGTAAAACCTGCAATATCTACCGATATTTACCATTGCAGCGAGTCTAAAAACTACCATGTATATCTGCCAAATCGCTGCCATGGCCACTATTTGATAACACTTATAAGCATTTTGGGGATATTGCCGAAACTCCTAGTATTAATACAAAGAAACTTACATGAAGACTCCAAAAATATTAGCTCCATGTAATTTTTAATGATTAGTGTTATCTTGTCATTCTCCTGTGTTTTTTCTGACCAGTTAATGTTCTCCTTTTCAAATCTAGTCAGATATGTCTTATTAGATCAATTGAGAAATGTGTTTTTTTTTCTCTTCATGTCATCTTTGTAGGTATCTTGCTATATGTCAATAGTCTTTTCAGTCTCTATTTTGCTTTATTTATGTTTCCGATTTTTTTTATTAACTGAATTGTAGGATACTGATGCTCTAAATTTTTATACTTTGGAGTGTTATTTGCAATATTTGTTTTATTTTGCTTGTTTATTATTCAACCTCACTGCTTATATTACATTGCTGCAGGTAATGTTCTTCTGCTAAGAAACCAGTTAGGTTTGAGCCTGGATGTGGCTGAAGTCTCACAGGAGAAGTTGCTTTCATTGGTCGCCGAACGATTGATTGATTCAAATAGTAATGTGAATGTAAGGATTGGGTTTGTAATCATTGGCGACATGACATCACTATTTTACGACCTAACATTCTTTTTTTGTCTTACAGAACAAAGATGCAGGCTATGTCGAAAATCAACAGCAGAACATTTCTGATGCAATTGATTTGCTCCCTAGGCTTGCCACCGGAATTGATGTAAATCTAAAATTTACGAGGTCAGGGTCATTTATTTATTCGTAAGCTGTTCGCATCCATCATCAATTTTGATGTTTCTCACCAAAGTTACATATCAATTGCAGAATAGATGATTTTGAGTTCACTTCAGAGTGTGCCATATTTGATTTGCTGGACATCCCATTGTATCATGGCTGGATAGTTGATCCGCAGGTGTCTTGTCTACTGCAATCTTAATTAATTAGTTCTATCATATCTATGTTGTCATATGAATTAGAGAAATTCTAGAAGATTGCTCCCTTGCCAATTGTCAGAAAAGTTCTAATGTTCTATAAATATCCTGTGTGTAGTATGAGATGCAACATATTTTTGCCCGTCAATGTTAAGTCTAAGAACAGTCCTTTGTTTTCAGTGAATTCCAGAACTTTTGATCGGTAACCTATTTGTCATATGCAAAGTGATACCACACTCCTTTTTTAGCCATTTCACGCTTCTGTACTGCATCCATTTTGATGTTGCTAACTAGAATTTGATTTCAAAATGGTCTATAAATGAGTTGTTAGGTTTCATCAGAATCATTTTCTTGTACTTGTAGGATTTATGTAGCAGTGTGCAAACCATCTAGTTCTTTGAAAATTAAAAGTGCTGGGTTAGTGGCCTCATTGTGTGATATCCTAAATTAATCTGGCCTCCATCCATGTTGGTTCTGATATTTTATTTGTGTTTTAATAAATTGGTGCATAAGACTCAATGTTATCTGTATATTTTAAATGACTGAGTGATCTTTTTGAATAATCACCTCGAAGGTCACTAAAATGTTATCTTTTTTTTTTTTTCAAACATGAAGGGTTTATTTATTATTTATGATGTGTTTGTTTCACGTGCTTGTGAACCAGGATCATGATACCGCAACTGCAATTGGATCGAAGTCCTATAATGCCCTTATGGGAGAGCTTGTTTCTCTTGAAACACGGAACATTGATACCCTACCAAAAAATAACCCAGAAGAAGAAGATTGTGTTGATTTTGTGGCCGCAACAACTGCTGCTCTTGGAGTTCCTTCTCCTAGTCTTTCGAAAGCTATGTCTTTTAATGATTCTCCACATTCTGTTTCTGATCAGGCACCAAGAAAAGGTGATCTTGAAGAAGAAGAACAGTTGTTGAGAGCCTTGAAGATGTCTGAAGCTTCAATGAGTGATCCCTTTGAGGGTCATGCAATTGATAACAAGGGAGAAGTTTCTTTTGGTACAGACGGAAATATGTGTGACAAACAGGCTGTAACCGTTGAATCGGAAGATAGCTTAGGAAAGAACACTGGTAAAGAAAGCAATGACTGCCATGAATCAGAAACCTCCGTACCTGATGTTTGCACTGCTTCTAGCAAAGACTATAATGAAGATACATCTACAATGGGGGAAACAGCTAATTTGTGCTCAAAGAATGACGCCGCAGGTGGCTTCCGTCAATTAGCTTCTATGGGACCTGAAGAATCTATTAAACAAAATGATGTAGATGAGAAGCTAAACCTTGATGCATTGGTTCAGAACTGTGCAGATGGTTTTAGGGGGGATGAAAATGTTCACAATCAATCCTCTCTTATTGCAACTATAGATCATGAAGTTTCAGATGAATCTCAAGGACTTGATGCAACAGGAGCACCATGCTTATCTTCCAGCCATACGAATTCGGATTCTTACAATATCAGATTTCATCAAACTGATGCTTCTGGAGCATTCCCTTCAACTGTTGATAGGAGTGAGCCCTTGTATGAAGGAGAGGAATGTGTATTGGATACAAGAACTGGAAATCTTGAGAATCGTGAACCTGTTTATGAAGGTGAGGTGGTGCTTCAGGAACAGGCTGACAAAAGCACCTTAGCTGTCCTTGATCTAAGAGCTAAGGAAGAAATAACTCCAGAACAAGGTCAATCTTGCTATATCTTGGAAATGGATCCAATCTGATTGGAATATTTTTTTCTTAGTAAAACATTTATTATTATCTTGATAATAAATGATATCTTTGTTTTTTATTGGTCTTAGGAGAACATGCCAAGAATTTTTTGAGGAATAATGCCAGTCAGTTGACATTTTACGGGTATGTTGCATATTGTCTTATTGGTCCAAAGTTCTTGACCTAATTCCCATATTTATAAATTTTTCTTCACTGGCTCAAGAATTTCACTTTAAATATCATAAACCATAAACGTTTTTGTAGGCTTTTCTGCCTACAAGATGGTCTTAAAGAGCGTGAGTTATGTGTTTTTTTCCGAAACAATCATTTCAGCACCATGTTTAAGGTGAGCACAAAGCTTAAAAAGGCTCATTTCTTTGGTCATTTGGATTAGTGAAAATGATATCGACTACCCCAAACAACACATTTTTTCATTGGGGAAAGATTTCTTGGCTCTCTGTCTTGCATAATATTTCTTTTCAATCCTAAAATTATTCTCTTCTATTCACAGCTTGAGGGTGAACTTTATCTTCTAGCTACTGACCAAGGCTACATAAATCAGCCTGATCTGGTTTGGGAAAAACTGAATGAGGTAAAACAAGATTACTCTAGTTTCTAAACCTTTATCACTCATGTCATCTTAAAATGTTACTATTTCCTCCTCTTTCCTTTCTATGTTGAATCTGACGGGAGTTTATAATTAAGATGATGGTATTCTCAGTGAAATGTTCTGAAAACTTAAAGTTTGTCTGCTTGGGGGTTTGAGCTTCTCTTGGATAGCTCTCAAGTCTTACACATGTGTTATTTTGGCTTTTCCTGATTATTGAATAAATTTTGCGTGACAGTGTCTTAATAAAACATCTTGTTTTTGTGTAATATTGAATTAAATTGAAGACATAAAAGTTTTTGACGTACTGACTGATCTTTCAGGTCAATGGTGACACATTGTTTATGACTGGCAATTTCAAGGAATTCAAGGTTGAAAGCCACGAAAATAACACTTGGGATGAGAACAATGTTATGACCAGCACTGCTGTATGTATTTTTTTCCCCTAAAAATAAGTAAATATCTAATCTTGAAAACAAATTCTCGTTGCTTTAAAGATAACTTGACATATTTCAGGACTATCTTGCCAGCATAGATAGTGCAACACAGGCAGGCTTAGATATCAAGTTGAGTTTCTGAACTTGCTATTAGCACATATACAAACATTTATAATTGGCCCCCTTCCAAAAAAAACCTAAATAAGCATCCTCAGTGATGTCAGTGTGTTTTGGATTATCTAACTTCGGGTCAAAAAACCTTTTAATAAAGCTTCTTGAGAAAGCTTTTGCAAAAATTTATTCCCATAAAAAAAGAAGTCCAAACATGAAAACTGTAAACTATTATTGTTGACTTAACTTAGTTACAAATTACAATTTTAACTTTTCAAAATGGTTTAGTAAAACTGAATCTTCTCTGTAATTGTGACAGTTCTGATTTGCAACTAGCAATAGCCTTGCAACAACAAGAGTTTGAGCAGCAGCCACCACGTCAGATTCAACAAACACCATCCACTAGTGGTAGTTCCAGACTGGTCACCGGTCCCCAGGTAAAAGTTGTTTTGCAACCTTATGAGAAATGTTTTTTTTTTTTGTGTGTATCTATAGACGAAGTGGTAATAACCACTAAAAATTCATACACAACTATGAGGTTCCGGGTTCAAACCCGGAATATAATATCTGGCCTAACAATATCGGCATTTGTCAGTTGAGCAAGAGACTCTTTCTAACATGCACAAGTGAATCAAGTTGTGCACCATGCACTACCATTTTATACCATTGGATTGGATCAACCAGGCACACTAGGGATAATGCTAGCCTACCCACGCCCAATCTCTCCACTCAAATCTATTAAATTAGAGAATGTGTGTGAAAAGGACCATATTCTTGGACTTGGCCTTTGAATTTTTTTAACAGTATGTTCTTCTCATTGAAGCCATTGATTTGAAAGCCTATAATGAAAAACATCTGAAAAAAATGGAAATGAAAGTAGAATTTAGACTACATGGTATATTTGAATTTGAAAATTTTAGCAATTTTTTAGTAAATGCTATCTGCAGGTGGCAAGGAGCACGGTAAGGAATCCATCTTCATCTCCCAAGCCTGAGGCAAAATCCAAAGAAAAATGTACAGTGATGTGAATTTCACAAGTTAGAAGCTTGTTTTATAATTCTTGGCCGTAACTTTTGTATCCCATAATTACAGAAACCTTATTCCTCATGTCATCATCATGTATGTGATGTTAGGTTAAGTTACTTTGTAAATATTGGAAGTAAATAGTGTACCACAGTGCCAGGTCTCATCTTCATGAGCTTCAAACCCATTCTGTGCTGATTGGCTGTGCAGCTTTAGTTGAGTAAAAGCCCAGCCCACAATTTTACTGTGCCATCTCACCAACGTTGTTGGTGATATTTATGTGAAAAGTCTGAGTAATTTGTGGATATTGTTGTTAACTTGCTAGTTAAACGTTGATTGATAGGGGAGGAAATGCATGATATTCAAATTTTCAGATTAAAAGGATTTGAAAATTTTGGAAGGGATTTAATTCTTTTTTCCCATAACCCTTTGTATTTGCTTGTCAGAACTTGCGAAATGTTACAGTAATTTAACTTTCGCTTTATGTATGATTGGTGAATGCTTCGTCGTAGCATAGTAAGATAGAATTTGCAATACTACAAGGTGAATAGAGATGTATTCAAGAGTATTAGTGATGAGAAATTTTAACCAAAAAGCTATTCAACTAGAAGCTATACAACTACTCACTGTAACTATCATAAACTATGTACAATTTTAACCAAAATAAATTAAAAAAATGTGTAGAGTTTGACGTCACAGTTTTTAGAGTAAAAATATTTGAATATAAATTATTGTTTTTAATTGATTTTTGAGGAGATAGCTGGTCTTTTTAATTTATTAATTTTATTTACTAATATTTAATATGAAATTATTCTCATCTATTTGTAAAGAAAAATTTGCATGAAATTAATAGCACTTAAAAACGTATGAGAAGAAGCTGTATATACAACTACTCAATGTAACTATCATCATCATTCGATATTTCTATTCTAATTGCATGCTACTTGAGAAATCTCGAGGAAGGCAAACTCTTATATCTTTTCAAGAACTATGAAGTTTTGTTGACAGATTGAAAAAGTGTTGAGCTCAACCATTCGAAAGACACCTCTCGAGGAACTTTGATATCTTATGTTAACATCTTTTGTGGAATATACTCCAATTCTCTATCCACAGTTCGACTTTTTTTTATCTCATTTAGAGACTTCGGTCCAAAGGCAACATAAGTACGTAGAATCTGAAGGTTCCTCTAATGTATTAATTTCAATTTATCCACCATCTTAGTGATCAAATTCAAAGGTCATGCTGAGTTGCTCACATCACTTCATATGTCTAATTGGCTGAATAATCTTGAACACGACACCCTGCCTTCAACACTTTCACTTTGATAGAAACATGCAATTTCCCTTTGGTCTGATAAGGAAGCTTGAGATTCACAAAGAACAATTTGACAAACCTTTCATAAGAGGGTTCTGGTTTTTTGAAAAAGAAGTCTTTGTGAAGGTGATCCGCGGTCGCTCGCGGATCAAAACGAGTGTTTTTATAAAAATGCTAGTATAGCGATTGACCAATAAAGTAATAATTTATGGGGGTTTGAATTTTGATTAAGCGAAAAAATATTGAAAATAAGTGATTATAAAAAAGGTGATTATGAAATAAATCAATCTACCGATTCGGTTCCTACTATCATCGATTACTATAATATTAATATTCTACGCGTTCATTCCTATTTGGATACAAGCTTAACGGCAAGCGCGATAAGGATTGCAAGATATATGATCCTATTGTCCGAATTAAGTAAACGGTAAAAAGCTTCATGAATTAAGCAAACATGATTATTCAGACACAAAAACAAATTAAGCAAACGTAAAAGTGTCTATGTTAGGATCATACAATCAACCAAATCAAATCAATATATTTCATATAATTGAATTAAGCATACAAGAGTACAAAATCATTGAACGGAATTAAACAGATAATAATATTATAATAATCTCAAGTGTTTGAACCTGAATTACGGTAGACCGACTCAGAGTGATTAGTTCTCCATTGTTCTCCCCAACATCAATTTTTTTGTGAAATGTGAATAATATACTAGGCTGTACGGCCAGACCTAGACTAAAGAGGGGACAAAAGAGAATTCGGGTCATAACCCAACTGGATCGAAAATATAACTCAGACCCAAAACTAAAATAAAATTCTAATGATGTAACTTGAAATGAAATTCTGAAATTTTGAGCTCCGAATCTGATTTCGGCTCCAACACGAAAGTCGTAGCTCTCTCTCTTAGCTTTCCGGCGATTTTTAGAACGCCTCAAACGGACTCCCGGAACTCCAGTTATGATTTTTCTCTCGCGAAAGCTGCTAAAGCTGAAAAATAAATACGAAAAACAATTAAATGCAAAAATAAAATAAAATATAAAAACACGTTAAAACATAAAAATAAATAAATAAAATCAAAGAAATGCTTGAGTACAAACATGAAAGAACGTGCATCAAAATGCACTGATCAGAAGGCTTGAACACACAATATCGTAAAAGACGAGTCCTTAAAATATCCTGTTTCAAAATAGTAGAGGTGACAATTAGATCCATTAAGACAAATTCATCCATCAAAAAATTCATCCAATTCACCCACCACATAAAAAATAAGTTAATGGATTGGATTAAATCTATCCATTTATATGCATGGATGGATTTAACACAATATCGTAAAAGACGAGTCCTTAAAATATCCTGTTTCAAAATAGTAGAGGTGACAATTAGATTCATTAAGACAAATTCATCCATCAAAAAATTCATCCAATCCATCCACCACATAAAAAATAAGTTAATGGATTGGATTAAATCTATTCATTTATATGCATGGATGGATTAAATCCATCCAACATATTTTAAGGATCCAATGGATTATTTTTATTTTCGTTAGATTTTTTTTAAAATTAATTAAAAATAAATATTTTAAAAGAAAAAAATCGATTTTTTTTCAAAATAAAAAACTAATTTGTTTTTTGAAAAAAAATCAATTTTTTTTTAAAAAAGTTTTTTTAAAGAAAAAAACTATTTTTTTTCTGAAACAAAAAACAAATTTTTTTTAATAAAAAAAATCGACTTTTTTAAAGTACAAAAAACCGACTTCATAATTTTTTTTAAATACAAAAAATTAATTTTTTAAAAATAAAATAAAATCGAATTTAAAAAAATATATATTTATTTTTACAAAATAAAAAGAAAGTTGGATGAATGGATATTCATCCATTAAAAATATGGTAATGGATGGATTAGATGAATTTTATTCTTAATGGATGGGTTGGATTGGATAATTTAAAAAAAAAAATAGTGGATTGTTAATGGACTAATGGATTGTTTTAATCCACCCATTAACAATCCAATCCATATTCATCTATTTTGCCACCTCTACAAAATAGACGGGTTTGAGAACCTTATGATTGATGAAGTTCTTGTTAAAGCTTTCTTCTTGAGTTTTGGATGAGAACTCTCTTGAAGAGTGGACATTTGATGAAGAGATTCCAACAAGAGGGAAATTTGATGAAGCCGTGTTGATGTTGATAACGACGACGACGATGATTATGAAGAGAATATGGACTCTCACACAACAAAAAGAAGAAATATAGGATGAGTATGAATAGAAGGAAGTGTATTGTTATTCATCTTTGTTTACACGAGTTTTGAACAATGATTTGGTCGAGGGAAATCCTTGTTGACTAGAGATATTTGGTTCAAAAATTTTTGATTTGAAAATTTTGTCCAAAAATTGTATCCTAATCGATTAAAAATTTATTTAATCGATTAGATCTTCATAAAATTTGATTTTTTTTTTATTTTGATCAAATATCAATTTGATAATGATCTATTGAAGGTATGAACTCCTAATCGATGGATACCATCTTAAATGTGCTGGATTTGGAGGGAGATTACATTTTTAATCGATTAACCCTAAAAGTTTAATCGATTAAACTGCCATTTTCAACTTCCTTGTTAATTTGGATCTTGGATACCCTTGGGCCTTGCTTTTCTTCTAGCATTCCCTTTTTAATAGCTTTGCACCTCTTTTACTTAAACACATTATTACTTAAAGCATATGATAAGTAAAAATAAAATAAATGAATTATAAAAATAAAAGAACACACGTTTGAAGATTAACAAGAGTTTTTCGAGTTTATTCTTCTATCAAGTGTTTGACCTCAATATATTAATAAATTTTAAGAATTTTCCTCCAATAAAGAGAATAAAAACAAACTGAAAATTTGTCATCTCTCTGAGTCACTTGACATGAGAGCTGACATATAACATCTCCCCCTCCTCAGTGATAAATTAAGATCACAAATTTTTTCAAAGAGTTCCTCAACCATCAATATCACCTTTTGGTGAAACTCTCAAATCTATGCTTTGCACAAATTTATTTAATTTACAAAAGTCCTCGAAGCTGTAAAACATTTTTGTAAAAATAAGTTAGGTTTCCACTTTTGATATCTAAATCTTTTTGGGTCCATGTGTGTTAGTGTTTTTAAGAGGCCTTAAGTTATTTCACTTTGACCATCTTAAATTGTGGAGTTTAAAATAATAATAAAACTTCTAAACGACCAAGTTTATGACATAAATTTCATTTATAAGTAGGATGTTTGGTTTTCTTTTTAGTATGACAAATACTGATAAATATTTTATTAGGTGGATAACCTAAACTATTTTTATTATAGAATGCCATTTGATTTGATAAAACTAGGTCTAGGTTATTTTCCCCCTTAATAAATTTACTTATGGTTTCACTTAAATTATTTACTTCCCTTTTCAGTGAAACACAAATTTCACATTTACCAATTGTCTTCTTATGTCAGCTATTTCATTTCCAAACACTTTATTACTATTTTTATGAAATTCAATATAATCTTTAAACTTTACGGTGCTTCTTTCTAATTTTTCATTCTCTTTACTAAGTTTAACACTAATTTAACAATTTTCTTATAAGTTAGAGTTGTTACCTTGCCATCATCTTCTTCATAGGTGGATTTGAAGTAAACTTGTTCTTCTTCATCAGATTTCTTTGTTG